ATAATATACTGTAAAATACAGATTACAATTCTGTACAATATTTACAATTAATACCTAAAATGAAATAAATCTGTATACTGAGTATTTTAAAATACTATATTTATTAGGTTGAATAATTAGATTTTAACAAATTAACAGCCACTCGTGAATATGCTATAAATAAACCACATTATTCGCATTATCATTGTCATCATCATTATTTTTTCCCAACAAGCCAGAATAGAACATTTGTTGCCATGAAAAGAAAGTTTCCTAGGTACAGCTATGCACCAAAATTATGAATAAATTAAATGGTAAATTCAAGCCATATCACTAAGTTCATTTTCTTCAATGGCATTATCATCATGGTCCTCGTCGGCATTCAGTTGCTTGAGTAGATCATTTGAACAGATATCAAATTATAACATGGTGTTGTAACAAGTCAAAACAGATTCAGTGAATGGTACTTAATTTTTTACTGTTAATGTAATTTTCCAACCAAGCTCTTGATTTCACTGTTGCCAGTATTTTTCAAAGCCAAATGTTTGAGATATGTTTGAGAATAATTATGAATTCAGTCATTGTGAGACAGGTTAAATCAAACATTGCTTAAGGTAACAGAGCAAACAGTTTGAGTGAAAATTTCACCAACTGACAGAGCCAGAGACAGAGAGTGGTTTACATGTAGTTTGAACTGTTTCTTCCCACGAGAACATAACCTCCGTCCACACTACAACACATATAAAGCAGACTGAGAAATTTATCTCACCAATATCATCAGGGAGTTCATTCAGTGCGAAGTCCTCCTCCTCCTTGTTTCTAGGAAAGTAGAGAGGCATGACCTTCCTGTAAATGGCCTGAAAACAATTAAATATGAATCAAATTTAATACCCCTGACTGTAATAATAGCTAGTACTTGACTAAGACCAAAATCACTTCATTGACCATCACCTCATCAGCATTTTCAACAGCAAAAACAACAAGTTCGATATCTGCAAACTTTTCTAGAAATCGTCGGACAGTCCCTGTTAAAAGAGGATACAAAAAAATAAGGAAAAAAATTGTTTCTGCTATTAACGCAAACCAAGGTAGCGATAAAAATAAATCGTCTGATAGCAATTCTGTTACCAATTGTTTGGTGCAAAGCCATCAAAAGTGAAAAGAAACAAGAAAAAAGTGGTGACCAGTGATCGCTTTTGGCCCATAATTTTAAGTACTAATAGAAATCGTTGCATCTAAAATGTAAATTACTTACGCAAAGCAATGTGAGCACCATCCTCAGGGGGATACCCTCGTCTTGAAGTGTTTATTACACAAAGACCAACTGATGCAATTCGTGACTCCCTAAAAGACAAAATGCACATGTGGTTTAAAACACATCAATCAGCTCAGTATATCCTTAAAGCATGAAGAGTATTGCAGTGGAAGTGCCAATCTACAAACCCTTCCATGGAAGGTTTTGCCTCATTTTATAAAACCTGTACAAAAAAGTCAATTGAAAATAAAAATCAAAGTGGCTATGAGCCACTCAAGTTGGAAAATGGATCGTCTGTAAACAGTGACAATTTTGATGCCACTGACTTGAGGTTTTAATCCACAGGTTAAGTTAAAGTTAAAGCCCATAGTGCAAAACGCAACCGCAAGAGAATATACAAGGAGATGTAACACTGTTGAAAACATTCATGAGGTTTTCAGTCCGAGAAACCGAGACAATTATAAAGAAAGAAGGGGGGCATCAGGATTTTCAGTTTTGTGGTTTGGGCTATTTTTTGGCTCGGTTTTTCGGTTTTAGTGACAAAAGACTTGATTTTTTTGGTTTTGGTGTTCATTGCGGTTGGCGGATTTTTTGTTTTTTAGCATCTGGTTTTCGGTTTTCATAAAAAAATACAAGTGGTTTTTCGGTCTTGGTATCCGATGAGGTTTTTGGTTTTTCCTTTTTTGTCCTATTTGGGCTCTGGTTTCTCTTCGATTTGAGTTGCAATTGATCTTGAATAGCTGTGAAACACCGAAGTTATTGAGAGGAATGCATGACAAACTAAATGTCACGGTAGGGGATCACACGTCTCAAATGACGCCCGAGACTTTGACCTTGCAGACCAGGGCAATCATTTGGTCAATTGCCACCCTTCCCCCCTGCACCAGCAACAGAAGAAGCAATTGTGGATTGTGTTGTGTTTTTTTTACGAGGAGGGGAAAGGTGGCGAGAATTTTCAAAAGAAAAACACGTTTAGATGTAAAGTGAAAAGGGAAGAGAGAAGCCTGCAGAAGCTAAGATACTAAAAGATACGTAGGCTTCAGACAAGTCCATAACATTCACAAATACTTTGATAAAATTAGTGTTAGTGTAATTTGCCCTGTATGCCAAACTTGTCACCATTGTATTGGTTTTTGATGGTTTTGTATACGGTTTTCGGTTTTGGGTGGATTTTTTTGCGGTTTTGCAGTTTTGGATGATTTTTTCTTTGGTTTTATGGTTTCTAATATACCCCAATGACCCCTCAGAAAGTACCGCTTCTTGTCCAATCACCAAAGCAAGTAATAATTCTCATTTTCATTCCTCTCATTTTTTTCGTTCCTTATTTTCCCAGCCAGTATCAGTTATTTTTTTTCTATCTTTGTTACCTTTTCTCATCTTAGAAATTAAAAAAAGTGCGTTCAGCATAGAGTCACTATACCACAAGGACAGCACCACGTCTCATCCACTCAACAAAGTTAAGCCCTGTTTGGCGGGGTTAATACTTGGATGGGTGACCAAATACGAAACTGAAAACCCCGTGTTGTAATAACTTCTTTTTTTCCCCTTCCCCTTTTCAAGGCAATATTAAAGACTGCAGAACTCCCAGCCTTGTGTAATGTTGGTCCTTCTACATTTATTTATCAACTACTTTGTTCCTCATTTTGCCATGTCTGTATTTACGTGTTTAATTAAAACATTGTATAAATAAACAGCAGAACACGTTGTTCCAATTCTCCTCAATTCTCGCCTGTTGATCTCCCAAAACATTTAATCACGGCTTGAATCATTCGAAAATTCATACAGCTCATCAATTTTGTGACTTTCAATGTCTTCTTTTTTTGGCAATCGAGTATGGTGAAATCTGCATGAGTGGGCACGTTCGGGAAATGAGCTATTTATATAATAATTACAGGTAGCTTCTATTTAAAAAAAACGTTTGTGCGAAAGTTCATTCAATGTAGAGCATTTTTTCAGTAAGATATTGAGTACTTGCATCAGAAATTCAAAGAATACCTAACTTGACACAGTGCAAGCGACCGTAAAACGGCCTTAAATGGTGGATGTTCCAAACCTGGGGGGAACTCCTATATGAAAAGATTGGGGATGCTCATCGTCTTGGGTACAAATCAAGTATTCTGGTCTCACTTAAGGTGTTGATGACAAAACGTCACCATTTGTAGCTGTGAAAGTAACCTTCAGGGTGTACTCGAAGAAATGATAATTAAAAGAAACACTCTCATTTAATTTCTGTTTTTAGGCTTGATTTCCGCTGATCTCTCGAGTACGCTACTCTGGTCTACAAGTGAGTGAGGGATACATCCTTGAACAGTGGCAAGTAATCGAACCTATTCTGTTTTAAGTGGTATCTTTAAGGGGTCTAATGAAGCTTGAGCAACTCCCGTATTAGGCTCCTTTAGGAGTAAAATTCAAATTTTCCAAAAAGCATCCCTGACCTTTTCATATTGGAGTTCTCCCCAAGGTTTCAAATGTCTAACAGGATGTGAAGGAGTGAAGGAGTGATGGGATGAAATCGCTTCAACACTACAACTTGGAAAATAATATTTTCCAAGTTTAAAAAGCCAACACGACTCACACTTTGAGTGATTTAACACACCTCACAATCTTCATAACACTCCTGTAAGAAGAGTAGAGAGCACTTTCTGCTGCAGTCTTGTATTTGACATTGTATCGAGGACCAACAGTATGAATAACATATCTGCAAATACAAAACAAAAATAGCACGTGCATTATTCTTTCTTTGATATACAACTCTCAATCCTGGGAACTTTGAGGAACAAAAAGTGCAATCAACAGCCAACACAACAACTACAATGTTGCAAATAATCAAAGTGATGTGAATAACTGTCAGTGATCTGTATCATTTGCCACCTACCTTGCTGGCAGATTGTAGCCTTTTGATATTTTAGCTTCTCCAGTCCTACAACCTACCCAGGGCAAAACATTGATTTATGTCATCTTATTTTATACCAACTGAGAGCAAAGGAGGCAGATAGCTTAAACTATGTTTATGCTGTGCCTTAAAGGAGGTCACTCAATTCTTGACATACTCTCTCTATTACAGAATATCCCTAGGTACAAACAATAGAGAACATGGAATTTCCTGAGTGTACATGACTGTATATGAGCATTATGACAATTTCTTGAATTAAACAGTAGGCAGCATGGCTGAGTGGTTTAAGGCACTGGTGTTGTAATACGAGGTCCTGGGTTCAATGCCTCCACCCTGCCACTAGCAGGATTTGTTTCTTGGTAGTCCCGAGTTCAAATCCTTGGTCATGCTTTGTAAATAGCCAACTGATCTGCCTCCTGCCAGTTGGGATTTTTGTTACGCTTATTTGAAATATTTGTTTCCTTTCTTTCAATGGCATGCCTGTAAACTAGCTAAGCTTAGTGCTTGTATAGCTAAGCGCATGACCACTATAAATAAGATTTACATTCTTACATTTACATAACAAAACATAACTTTCCCAGTCAACACAATTTTCCCCCACCCCAGGAATTGCATGATGAACAAAAATATGTTTAGGAAACAAACAAACCTAGACCACCAGTAGATGGAAAGATGACTGTATCAGCAGTAAACTGCTGCACTTGTTTATCGTGATTACCGATAATGGGCAGAAATGCTATCCAGGAACAGCAATTTCGTACACTCTGCAATGACTGCAAGTTACTGGCATTATGCCACAGCCTTGGTACGAACAACTACAGGAAAAGCACTCTCGGTGATTGTAATCACTAAGAATGGCTAGGTTTGACAGCAAAATGTGTTGCAACACCCATGGATTAAAAAAACAGAAATCCTGGAGTTGGATTTAGCCATATGTACAAATGAGTCTGGCTTCATTTCGACGTCGTTCTAGCCACATTGGAGTACAAGCGCGCACGGCACGAAATTGAGCAGCGAAGTCACGAGATGAGAAAGTGAGCCTGCCCTGATCTCCGCAAATTTTTCATTTCCACCCCGGAAACTGCAGAAAAATAAGCCAACTAATTTTCACCAGAAGTATGAACTTTGGCAGCTCAGATTTCTCGGGATTTCATAACAACATGCAGGCGTGATATACATTGTTGATAAAGTTTTGCCAAAGAGAAACTGTCAATGCTTATGTCTAGCAAGGACACACACTTGATTTCAAGTGATCTTGCTCAATTGGCAGTCTGCACTCTGATGATGCTGGTAAACATGCAAATGCCTTCGTATTGTTTTGTTGCCCACTTACAATCACATATGCTTGTAATATTTAACTCTTCTCATATGCAGCTGGCAACATGACAAGTACGTCTTGATACATTAACAACTTTCAACTGCTATTTCCTGCTCCCTCTTTAGTTTGAAATTTAACCAGAAATAGACTGGGACTTTGTTAAAACATCAGTAATATCGGCACTCAACTCTTCCTCTGACTCCAAATGTGGATGACTTATTTCTTATTGAGAGAACGTGCGGTAAATTACCGACTCCGTGGGGATCTAATCGCTCCTCATCAAAAATAATAGATTGACAGTTTTCTCATATTTCCTGCATTTTGACCAATGGTATTTCACTTCACTCAGGCGAAGCAGAAATGAAAAAAAATACAGAGATCAAGGCAAGCTCACTTTCTTGGCCTCTTCACCAGACTCCTTCCCGCCAAATCGCTTTGCTCTTCGCCACTCACGCGTGACTCAAAGGTGAGCCTGCTTGCAGGCTAACGTTGTTCAAGAGAGGGCCACTGTAGCTCATTAAGGAGATGGGTCACAGACCCCAGTGTTTGATCGTAACAGTGTTTAACAAAACAAGCGACTTGCAACTAGTACTGTAACTGCATACCTCTGAAACACTTTGATCCAACAAATGCACTTCAGGTGCCACATTTATACATATGGCAGGAAGAATGTCACCTTAACACCACTAACATACTTGATATCTACAAATAAGCTTAAGCTTTCACTCAGCCAATCTAGCATTCACCCTAAACCCAGGGGTTTTGTTAACATTCTCAGCAGGAGAGCAACTGGTTTTTACTGGCACAAAAAACTACTTGAACTGAACTTCTAATACAAGAAAAATCTTCCCCTAAATCAAACCAGGCGGACAAAATTGCCCTCACTACCAGTCAATTTGCTTGGTGCCTACCAACTACGCAGAGAAAACCTTCTGCCAAGGAGCGATGTTTCGTTGAAAACTGTGACTTCCCAGGGCATTGTATTAAACTTCAGGGCAACTGGCATAGGTAAGATGCTGTAAGCATGATAAACAAAGCTACTGCCCTCAACAAAAAGCCCTTGAAAGTTTTGGGGAATTTGCCAATTGGCCATTGCAATCAATGACTAGCCCCAAGGAAAACAGTGAGTTTTGTTTCCCCGAGACCCTCAGTGTTCCCCAAGGCAAAGCCAAGGGAACATTGAGGGTCGAGGGGAAACAAAACTCTCTGTTTCCCGAGGGGCCAGTCATTAAGTGTTGTGTTATACCTCCTGACTCAAAAATAGAAAAACACTGCGAAATTATTTGCTTGACGCCTATCCTGGCTGTGCTTGCAGTACGAGTGACAGTCAAACCGAGCTGTCCTACCGAAACAACATGATAACAGTCTTCTTCTTCGCAGCTAACAAAAATAAAGACAATTAATACTTGAGTTGCTTTGCCTTCTTCTAATGCTTAACTCGAGAATTCTGGTTTGGTTTGACAAGGAACAACATATTTTGTCGTAAATTAATGGCACAACTTTTTTCCTACCTGGCGAGTGGCGACAGTGATCAAAGAGTGAGTTGCCGAACGCGGTTGACCCATTTTAAAAGCTTCCAGACACAAAATGTTCAAATTTTCCCCTTTGTTAATCTGATATGTTTTTGCCGAATTATAAATCCCTTTTCTTGAATAATGAATGCCTTCTCCGGTGAGAAACGCTGCCCAACTTCAATGGCTTTTTGACATCAGACCGACTGGCACACAAATTTGCCGCCATTTCAAGGTGCAGGACCTGATCAAGTGCGAGTCGAAAGTTCAAGTTGTTGTTTCCCTAGGGAGTTAGTGAGTTTTGTTCGCCCTAGGGAGTTAGTGAGTTTTGACCCATGGCATGTGACACGNCAAGTGTGAGTTGAAAGTTCAAGTTGTTGTTTCCCTAGGGAGTTAGTGAGTTTTGTTCGCCCTAGGGAGTTAGTGAGTTTTGACCCATGGCATGTGACACGTAATCCTCCAATTGGAAAACGTATTTGAGTTGGGAGGTATAACAAGCCCAATTATCCCTCTTCTCCTCAGTGAGTTGTCATATAATTGTAACAAACAAGGCACCTTACCAAGTAATTGTGTTTTACATTCCTGTAACAGTTCCGGGCCAGCTAAACGATGGATTCTTTCACTTAACACTCCTCTGTTACTAAGAGATTCATTTGTTGTGTTTACTATTGCAATTGTATTCAGTTTAGTAATATCACCGGACCTACAACAAGATAAATAACAGAATTTAGCATTGACTTCATAAGGAGTGATTATGGTAATATCAATCAATTATGGTACAATATATTAAACATTACCAACTTCGTATAAATTGACAACTGGAAACTTGAAATCATATTCGAAAATGCTTCACAAAATGTCACACCACGACGACTCTCAAAACAGTTCGGCCTACAATTTTCGTAGATCTCAAAGTCACCCACACTTCCTATCTGTAAAATATTGAATCGATCATGAAATTTAAAAAATATATATTTGACCGAATTTGAACCACTAATTATTTCTTTCAGGGATTAATTAACTTTTAGAAATTCTTCGCTGGAAACCAATGGGCCAAGCTAAGGAGATACAGACGATTGCTGCATGCACACTGATATTTTTCAGAAAACAACATATCTCTGCACTGGCATATCTTTTACACCTAATTAAAATGAAAAAATCTTGCTGAAAAACGCAAATAAACGTCTATAAATACACACCAAAGAGCTACTTTAGAGTTTAAGTCTTGGCGAATAGGAAATGGATTCTGTGTTCTTGCGCTATTCGCTGGCGATCCTGCGTTTTCATAAGCCGGAACCGGAGTGGAACTCCATCTTGGAAGAGAAAGAGCGTCCACAATAGGTGCTGTCACTCCAAGAGGGTCCATGGCACTGTCACAAACACTAGCTCAAATACATAAACTTAGCTTAACCTCGTGCAGCGAAGTAAAAACGTAACTCAAAATGTACTAGGTTTTCGTGTTTCTCGGATGTATTTCGAAAGAGACAAATGTGCAGAAACGCACACATCACTGGCCAGCGAGACCCGTGCTTCATATAACAAGCCTTTGTGTGTACCTCCTCACCAACCAATCACGTGTACCGGGTGTAGAGCCACTTTCACAATAAGTACAGTACTTGCAAAAAATTTCTGACAAAAAAGTGTCCAAAAATGAAACCGYCCGAAGTTTTTAAGRATCYGAAATTTCAAGCATCCGAAAAGTTTACAGTACAGTATAAAACTTTTATAAGTACAGTACGAACCTCCTTGGGAGAAGCCATCACACATGTGTTCAAGGCCAATATACATGATAGAGCTAGAACTCGGATTAAGCTTTGCTAGTTCTTTTTATCACTTTATGGAGCAAACTCTAGCTGAGACACCGCTTAAGATACGTAACGGCTTGTTAGAATTTGAGGTATCTACTCGTCGGTGTATCTGTAAAACCTTGAGGATGCAGTAGAACTATCCTTTTCTCAGGCGTCGCCCGCACTACCCCGGAGAAATTTGAAAACGCAGATTTACTAATTTCTACGTTAGGCGTACCACACTAATCCGTTACGAAGCTTTTTGAAAACGCTCTTTAAACCAGAGGAATTTGAAAACACCGGCGTTGCGTTTTAATGTGGACGGAAAACATTTTGAAAACGGAGCTTTACGAAAACGATGACGTCACGATAATCATGTGATTTCCCTTCCAATCAGAAATCCAAAATGGCCGGTGATTGTTGCGTTTTCGAATTTCTCCGCCGCGGTCATGTGGGCGGGGCCTCAGATGTTATTTCGGTACCAATTAGTGTTTTGCAGGCGTGTTGACTTTAGTTATGTGTCCGGAATTTTTGTCCGAATTTGTCCGAAGTGATAAAAACAGTGTGCGAAAACTAAACGTCCGAAATTTTTTGTAATTAATAATGTGGCTTTATTTGCGTGACCAAATAATTTCATACAATTATCAGGCCAGCGGATTAGACCCACATGACTTAAGATAGACCGGCTCATGACGCACATGATGAGCACGCTCAAGGTGAATGATCTTCACTGCATTTACCCCGTCAGGGGTACCCTGAGTCTGACAGGTCTGGCTCCCAATACCAGCGGTTCAGGTTTTGAGGGGTACCCCCGCATCACTCCTATCATTCTTTTAAGTTTGAACTTTTCGTCCCTTGAGATTGATGTTTAGGTTTATACATCCTTTTCCCCTTCTGGCACCACATGATTCAAATATAGATGTTAACATATGAAGAATTGATGTAATTTAGCTTTAATTTTTAAAATTTGTATTCATGGTTCATTCATTGTAAGTTCATTAGCTTAGTTAGTGCGGACGTAGGTCTTACCTGTTCTTTGTAACCTGCTTTAAATAAACTATGTATGCATGTACATGTATTTATTATATGGTTAGCTCCGTGAGCGGGCAAGATGAATCAAATCCTGCGCTGTGATTGGCTACCCGAGCGGGCAAGATGGAGCTATCTTGCCCGCT